GTCCACATCCCTGACCTTTTGGCAAATTACTTCATTCTGTGCCCCAGTTTCCTCATCTGTAAAATGGGGTAACCATAGTTCCACTCCTAGTGGTGCTGTAAGGATCAAATGAGCATAAAGCTTTTAGAATTGAACCTAACACAAGCTATGTGCTATTTAAATAATAATTAGCATGATTATCTCTTTGGATTCTCTCAGCCTCCCCATGGGTGGAGGGGCAGGCATCACTTCATTTTCAGACACAGAAATGAAGGACCAGAGAGCCGAAGCCAGTTACCCAAGGCCACAGCGCTGCAGGCAGGCGGCGGTCTGGGTTTAATCCAGACCTGAACCTCAGTTACCTCATGATAAAATTGGGGTGATGATGGTAACCCTCATAGGATTAGGTTGTGAGAATCCAGGGTCATCGTGCAATCAGGTGATGGGCACGTGCAGGGCACTGTTCAAACGTCTGTGCCCTTCCTCTTCATGGTGCCCCCTCACCTCCACCCCCGTCACACCGACACAGCGATCTCAGCTGCCCTGCTCCTGGCAGCCCTGGGGTCAGCTGCTTCTGTTTGGTGGGCGGGGCAGCTGGGCCTACAGAGAAGCCCATTGTCTCTGTCCTCTGGGGCTCTATTGTTGGGGCCTCCTCCCAGGATCCAGCCCCAAGACACTCTCAGCTGTCGCCGGGCTCCTCTTGGCTTCCCGGGGCGGGGCAGGGGTGAGTGTGCAGATAAGCAACTGTACCCTGAAGACTGGATCACCAGTCTGATTCTACTGGTAAGGTCACTGAGGCTCAGAGAGCCTAAAGAACTGTGTGGAGAGCGCTCGTCTCACGTCAGAGCCGCCAGATGGGGCTGGGCAGTGGGGGGGAGTGGGTGGCCTCAGGTCAGTGTGGTCATGCATCCCATTAGGTCGGAGATGTCAGGGCCAGAACGCACGGCCCCCACTCTTCCATTTTACTCGTGGAAACAGAGACCACAGAGCCCGGACGCTTGCCCAAGGCCACACAGCGGCTCCGCCTCGGAGTCCGCCGGGAAGCCCGTCGTCCCTAACATCCAGGACGCCCAAGCCTTGAGACCGCGCAGGAAGGCCTGGCGGCCGGGGGCGGGGCATAGACTGGCCCCTCCCATGGGGCGGGGCTATGCCTCCCGTTCCAACTCTGGGACGAGTGGTCCTCCCCATAAGGGGCGCGGCTTCCGAGCCGGGCGAGATCTCACTGGGTGTTGGTCTGAGGAAGGGGGGACTTCGCGCTTGAAGGGCGTTGGGTGGCGTGGCCTCCCTCCCGCAGAGGCGCTCTGTGCGGGACTCCAGACCTCTGTGCTGTGACGCAGGCGCGAGTGGAGGCGGGGCGGAGCCGAATCTTCGGAGCACCGCCCCCAGTGGAGACGACAGAGGCCGGGGGCGTGTCCTGGGCGGGGCCGCTCCCCGGCCCGCCCGGTCGCGGAGTGGTGGCAGCGCTGGGAGGGCCCGGCCCCGGCATGTGAGTGCGGCGGGGGCGGGGATGGGGGCGCGGGATGGGGCGCCGGGCCAAGCCCGGGGGGGTCCCGGGGGTCCCGGTGGGCGGGAGCACCAGTGCGCGGGCGGCCGGGCGAGCCCGCCAGGTGCGGGCCCAGGTATGGCGGGTGAGGGGCGCTCGGGCCTCTTGTGGCCAGGCCGGCCCCGCGTTTCGGACCAGCCCAGCGCCGCTAATCTGCGGCCCACGGGACGGGCACCGGCGCGGGGCGCCGTCCCGGCGGGGGCTCGCTACAAGCGCAGCTCTGACGTCTGCCCTCGGGCCCCACCAGCTAAGCGGAGGCCCCCGCAGTGGCAGCCGGGTTTCTGTTCCCTGTGCGGCAGCTGCGGAGGTGTTATGGGGGTCAGCTGCGCGGCGGGGCCCGAGGTGACCCCATTCCTGGCTCCGGGTTGGGCCGCAGCCTGCGTGAGCCCCGACCTGCTGTTTCTGGGAACTGTCACCTCAGCTCTCAGGGAAAGGGCGCTTTCTGTGCTCAGTTGTTAAATGCGTTATCTCATTCCTCTCAACAGCCACACATTTTACAGTTGAGGAAAGCGAGGCCTACGGCCACAGGGCTGTTGATGTAATTGTTATCATGTGGAGGTGAGGTGCTGAGGCCTTACAGCCAGACACACCTGGGTTCACATCTGCTGTTCCACAGACCCGTGTGACCTTGGGCACACCTGGTTCCCTCCCCGAGCCTCCGGTGGGATGGTGGTGCCTACCCCCCAGGGCTGCTGTGAGGATTGGGTTGAATGGTTCAGGGAGCTCAGTAAGGAACCGCTATTATTACTGTTGTTGCTGTTGGTAAGTGGCCCTTTTTCTGCCACCGAGGGAGCTGGTGGTACTGGGTCAGGGCTGTCTGCTCAATCCCAGCCTGCTGGCGCTGAATGGGAAGCTGCTTCCCACAGTGAGACTGTTCCTGTCTGTGCATGTCTGTCTCTGTGCCCATGGAAGGCCACACCCAACCCAGCTGTACCAGCATGTGCCGGAGTCACGCTGGCCCATCGTGTACTCACCGCGCTACAACATAACCTTCCTGGGCCTGGAGAAGCTGCACCCCTTTGATGCAGGAAAATGGGGCAAAGTGATCAGCTTCCTAAAAGGTATGGAAGGCCCCACTCGGACCCTACATCTGCTTTCTCCAGCCCACCTGCCACCACCTGCTGCTCTTTCCCTGGCACAAGCGTCAGGCCCTCCCACCTCCAGTGTCAGCCCTGAGACAGCCTCCCACCCATGCTGTCAAAAGGATCTTTCCAACACAGACTTCTAAGCATGATATGCTCCCGTATCACACCTTCACTGGCTCTCCATCGCTGTGGACCTAAGTCCTGTCTCTGCCCCTGGAGACCCAGTAGAAGGGGAGCTGATGCTTGGAGGAATGCATTGTCCATAGCCCACAAGCTCCTAGAGTCTGGGAAGTGGACAACCTTTGCTCCAACCTCACGGATTACAGATGAAGGAACTTGGGGCCCAGAGAGTTAGAAAATGTGCCCAAAGGCACACAGCTATTGAGTGGGGGAATGGGGCCTGGACCTCAGAGCCCCAGGCTCGTCCGCTTCATGGCTCATCCCCTGAGTGGGGTGGTGCTCTGGGGAGCACGTTGTTTCAATTGTGGTTTGTAATCTAGGGGTCTGGTTCATGTGGAAAATTCAGGCATCATGTAGGCTGGTGAAAAAAAATATTCTAGTTCCTCGTATTGTGGGTTCTTTAACTGAGGGAAGTAGGAAATATTACCTGAAATGTTACCTGGCATAGGATGAAACATTGCATATCTTTAAATCGCACAATCCCTCTGATGACACCTGGGGGAAGTTTCACTGTGGGGCTAGCCCGTCTTTAACACCTAAGCCCATCTCCCTTTTTAACAAATCTAGAGCGAGCCTCAGCCTCTGCACCTGGCAGAAAATAGAGTCAAATTAGAGATTAATAACACTGTTATTTGTTTTTATATTTTTTGTTTTTATTTTTGGTTAACTTCTGTTTATGGCAAGGGATACTGATTTTCCACTTGCAATAGTGACCAGAGTGCATATTCAAAGAAAAATATTAAGTAGAAAAGAGTACAAGTGGTGTGCAGCCATGGCAAGAGCTCTGGTGAGGTGAGCGGAGCCATCCTGCCTCTCCCCTGGCTGTTCTCATGCCTTCCTGAATGGGGTCCTTTACGCTCTGCTTCCAGTGGTCCTGAGTCTCTGTGTTCATTGCCCCTTCTTGGGCTCCTGTGTCACCCAGTAGCGCAACATAAGGGTTCCTTGTCCCCTTCACTCTGAGCTGACCATTTTCCTGAGTTCCCTCTGAGCATGTGGGTGGAAAGGAGCCAGGGCCACATGGTGAAGGGCCTTGGGTACCACCAAGAAAACAGCTGGGTCCTTGCCGGAAGGCAGTGGGGAGCCATGGAGTGTTTGGGGCCGGGGGGATACCTGCCATATGTGGAGCTCTTTGTGAGAAGTGTATGGAACTAGTTGGTTTCTACCAGGGTTGGTTTCTAAGAGTGACACATTAGCATAGGTCCCCTAGATTCTGACCTTGTCCTTCGACTTCCCTAGAACCAGAGCATCATGGTCCTGTTGTCACTGTGCCCTAGAGCACTTCGTCCTCTCTGCCTTATTTCTTCTGTTGCAAAAGGGAGCAAGTCTTGTCTGGTGTATGCGTATGTGGTAATGAAATAACATGGTTTTTCCCAAACATCTCAGTCATTTGCAAACCACTCTTGGGACCTTGCCATCGCCTCATACCACCTGTTCCATTATTTACTTCATAGTTTTTATTGACTTAGCCTTCGTTTTAAGAAACTTAAATAAACCTGTTTTAAAAGGAAGCATTATGTCATCTAAATGGAAAAAGCCAGTTTCATTTGCCATAAATAGAAGGTCATGGTAAAAAGTAAATGCAATGAAAACAGCAGTGTTATTTCAGCTCAGGCAGCTGACTGTAGCTGTGTACTGTCAAACTGATTGCTCCTTTTGGGGGGTTAAAAAAAGGGAGATGAGCAAGGGTCAGGCAGGTGTTAAAAAGAGGCCCCCCGTATACCAAACCCCCCATGATGTCATCCCAAGGTGGAGGGAGAATCGATCAGAAGAGCTTTTTCTCACCTTAAGAGTCAGCGTTAATGACCCGTGTGCTACCTGCCTCTAAAAGGTGTCGAGCCACACTTGAGCTCGCCTCCCGGCTGTCAGTGGCCTGGGAAACACGAGGATCGCTGTGCACAATGTCGTATGTCCCCTGGCCCGAGGGCCTGGCCGCTGTCCCCACTGGCCTGAGAGGTGGCCCGTTCTCAGACCGCCCACAAGCCATCAGGGCCCACCTTGTCCTGCGGCAGGGCTGCCAGCCTGTGGGAGAGCCTGGGGCTGGGCCTGGCCTGGAGGCGGCAGGGATGCATGGGGCCTGCTTTGTGGTTTCAGAAGAGAAACTTATATCAGACAGCATGCTGGTGGAGGCACGGGAGGCCTCGGACGAAGACCTGCTGGTGGTGCACACGAGACGCTATCTCAACGAGCTGAAGGTACAGGACCTGGGGGCTGCCAGCCAGAAGGAGGGGCTGGAGGAGGGGGCCGCTTAGCCTGGGGATGCACAGCCTCGAGGGGCTCCATTCCTGTCCCTATGCAGGGGAAGCATGTGAGTCTGTGATCCCCGACAGGAGAGAGGTGTCCTAGAAAGGCAGATACCAGGGATGGGCTAGGCTACTCCAGGGGATAGTGAGCTCCCCATCCTTGGGAGTATGAAAGCAGGGATGGCCACTTGGTGGGGATTGAACCTTCATTGGGGTTTTGGGCTTCTGCATCAGTGACTTTCAATCTGTGCTATGTGGACAGGCCTCAAAGACCCCTGCTGGGATGATGGATGGGGGGGCCCCAGTCCCTTGTCCCCATTCAACCAAAGCTATTCCGCTTTGGCCTATTTTTACCTCGGGCTAAAGTATAAGATGCTGTTTCAAGGGCTTCTGCAGCTAAAGACGTGTTGGAAACTGTTGGGCTGAAAACGAGTTTTTACGCCCCAGGGCCCAGCAGGGAACATAAACCAGTGGCGGGTGGTGTCTGGGACAACTGGAGCTCCTGCCCTTCCCAAGCTGGTGGCTGCCGCCCAGCCTCCACCGTGGGCCCAGCTTTCAAAGAGAAGCCAGAAATCCACATGTTAAGTGACAGTTCCTGATTTCTTAATGTAGCAACTCAGTGGAAGATTTTTGAAGCCCACCTGCAGAGCACATGGGGTCTGCCCGTGGTGACCTCCTTCTAGAGGAGCTGCATGGCTCTCCTCAGTGTGGTTCTGAGGGTAGAGGCGTTCAGTCAGTCCCCTGTGTGGGAGAAGAGGGCAGGCTGGGCTCGGGGTGGCATCAGAACCTGGTGCGTCAGGGATGCCACAGGTTCTCTGTCCCCAAGGGCGTGGAGTCCTGACCCCTGACCGCTAGGCTTCCCAGCAGGACTCATCTTAGACTCAGAGCTAGAGTGGGCGCCAGAGGTCACCAGGCTTCTTCCCCATAGGTGGAAACACCTAGGCCCAGAAAGAGGCCCCACCTGCTCAAGGTCACCTGGGAAGTCCAGCAGGCCCGGGGGAGACCCCAGGCAGGGCATCCGGTCAGGTCTTCCGGGTTCCAGGCCACGGCAGCTGCCCTCCGTCCTCCTCCATGCCGGCCTGAGCTGTGAGAATTCTAGATGGATCCGTGACAATGTGAGCTCATGAAAGATTACCAGGAAGAGGTTGAAACCTGGCTCCCGGGAGAGCGAGATGTGCGAGGCCTTGGCACGAAGCCCAGCACTTGGCTGCTCTGGTTTCCCAGGGCCCGGACATGCGTGGTCACAGCCCAGCAGCTCGGTCAGGAGGACATGCCTGCCAGAGTCCAGAGGGTGAGGGTGGGGGCAGGGAGAGACCAGAACAGAGTGGCGCCAGGCTGGAGCCAGTGCCAGGATAACGCTGGGGATGGGGGATGGGCTCCAGGGCTCCATCCATTTGAGGGGCTTTTCAGGGAAGGGTGTGGGACTGACTGCATGCCTGGCCTTGGGACCCCAGAAGCCTGAAGGCAACTTACTCTGTGGTAAGCAATAATGCAAACAAGTAGAGCCCCAAATAGAAAATTGAGGTCAAGGACAGGAGGAGACTTCAGATATGCCAACATAACCAAGATGCTATGGTTGTGCCATGTATTTGGAGCTCCCTAGCAGCCAGAGCAAAAGGAGAAACATGATGATTTCCACATGACCTACTAAGGTGAAGAAGTATTCAGTCACGCAGCACGTCTATATCGAATACTGACTGTGTACTGGGTGCAAAAAAAAAAAAGAATAAGCAAGTTTCCCTGCTCCCATGGATTTGTATTTCATTAAAGAAGACTGAAAATAAAGAAGTAACCGTACAAGAGCATTTCAGAGAGCACCAAGGGCTATGAAGGGGAAAAAAAGGGTAATTAGGCAGAGGTATGTTCATTTAGCTTGAGCAGCCAGGGAGGGCCTCACAGAGGAGGTGAGGTGTGAGCAGAGATCAAAGAATGAGGGGTAGGTGATACTCATGTGGAGTTTTAAAAGAAGAATGTCCAGAGTCTCAGGCCTGGAGAGGGAGGGGGCTTGGCCTCCCGAAGGGGAGAGGGTTGCTTGAGTGGCCAGGTTGAAGGGAATGAAACACTGACGCGGCACGTGATGTGGTCAGGGAGGCCAGCAGCCCTGGTCCACAAGCCCTGCAGGCCTCAGGAGGAGTTTGGATTTTGTTCCAGGTGCCACAGGAGAGTGATGTGGGGTCATGTGCCCCAGATGCTCAGGTGAGACCCGTGCACGTTCCAGGCACTGTGTGGTGTCTAGGGGCTGCTCTCGGGAACAGCCCCCTGGCCCCGATGCCCACGACGTTTCTCTCCTCTTTTCTCTGCCGCAGGACCCCCAGGGCTGCTTCTCCTCAGCGGTCCTGTGTGTGCCCTGCCCGTGCTGCCCCATACCCGTGTGGGCTCCTGCCTGGCCCTGCACGGTGTGGCCTTCAATGCTTGATACACCGGGCATCGAGCGAGGTGCAGTGGCCCGATGTTTGCCAGATGACGCCCATCCAGGGCAACAAGTGTTTATTGAGCGCCTGCTGTGTGCAAGGCCCAGAGTCGGCCCCACTGAGGGTGGGGTTTGGGTCGGGCCAGGGCCAGGCTCCTGCCTTGTGCTGGCCCTGTGACAGTTTGCCACGGGGCGCCGGGTGGTGGGACGCAGACCCGCCCTGTAGTCCCCGTGTACCCTGTGCTGGGCAGTGCTCGGGACACATTTATGTAGTGAGTGTTTGGAGGACCAGGCTCTGCTCTGGGTGTAGGATGATGGCGGAACAGAAGAGACTGAATCCCTCTCTTGATGGGACGGAGTTGGTGTGTTAAAAGGCACTCAGTGCCTTGGGGAAAGGACAGCGGGGAAGGGGGTGGGGAGGACCGCCCTTCAAAATAGGAGGCCGGGGGTCTCACTGCCATGTGACCGTGGACCGAGGGCCCTGAGGGAGTGGGCTCGGTGGGCGTCTGGGGGTAGGGCATTCCGAGCAGAAGGGTCAGCAAGTGCAAAGGCCCTGAGGCAGGAGTATCTCCAGTGTGTTCCAGCAGCAGCGAGGACTAGGCGACTGGTTGGGAGGAATGGGAGGGAGACGGTAAGAGGTGGGGTCGGAAAATGATCGGGGCCAGGCCACGGAGGGCCTGTGGTCGCTGTGGCTTTGCTCTGAAGGAGGTGGGAGCCCAGGAGTGTTTCAAGCAGGGGGACGTGATCTGACCTAGATTTTAACAGGATTGCTTGGCAGCTGTGATGGGAATGGTTGAGACCAGTCTGTCAGAACAAAAGGGAGGGAGCAGGTGGTTGCAATGATCCTGGTGAGAGAGCCTGGCCTCTCAGATGAGGCTGGAAGTAGCTGTGACCTGGGGGGGTACGTGGCAGAACTTGGGGTTTGTTATGAAGTTGGAACAATAGGATTTTCTTTTGTTCAGATTGGGTGCGGGGTCTGCAAGCCAAGGAAGCCAAGGATGCCAAGGATGTCCCAGAAATTGTGGCTGGAGCCCCAGGGAGTCTGGGCACAACTTGGGCCTCGTTGCTACCCTCACAGCGCCCGGCACCTGTGGGAGAAGAGACACAGGCCCCCGTGTGTGCCATGGAGCAGCTGGGGGGCGAGTCTCAGAGAGTCCCAGGGAAACAGGACGCCCGGGGTTACAGGATCAGCTTCTCCATTTCTGCAGAGAAAAAAAAAAGGCCATTGGGATTTTGGCAGGAATTGTGCATCTGTAGATGAATTAGGAGAGAACTGACATCTTTACAATGTTAGGTCTTCCAGCCCATGAACACAAGATGTCTTTCCATTTATTTAGATCTTCTTTAAGTTCTGTCAGCGGTGTTTTGTAGTTTTCCGTGTATGAGTCTTATACCTGCTTGGTAAATTTATTCTTTTTGAAGGTGTTGTAAATGAAATTGCTTTCTTAATTTCTGTCTGGGGCTATAGCTTCCTATTCTTTCATTCTCTGTCCCCTGCTGGCTTGCCGAGGGTGGGAGGGGGACATCGACTCAGCGTTTTCCTTCAGGGGCTCGTTGCTCACTTACTTGTAGCGAACAGTGGTTCTCTGCCTCACGTGTGCTGGACCAGTGCTGGGTGATGGGCTTGGCGGGACAGATGGGTGGAGCTGGCCGTCTTCCCCTCTCTGGGTCTGCCCCTTACCACACACGCATATACATGAATGCATGTGCATATGCACACCTCTGCACACGTGCACGAAAACACACACACACACACACACACACACACACACACACACGTCTCGCAGCTGTCCAGCTCTCCCCAGCAAGGCTGTCGCATTGCATATCAGCGCCTCCCTGCTAGGCTGCTATGTGTCCGTGAGGCCAGGAGTAGTGCCATCTTGCGACCTGCAGCCTAGCAGGTGCTTAGTAAATATCTACCAAGTGCTGGGGCCCCTCCAGGGCTCTGCTTGGGGTCAGTGGAGAGCAGGGTCTGGACCTCGGGCGTTCCCAGGCAGGCAGGAGATGGTCTAGGAACGGGTTGCATGGATGCTTGCCCAGGGCTTGGGAGGTTATAGGGAAGGCCTGTGTCCTTATCTTGGTGCAGACGCCTTCTCGGTGCTCCAGACCCTCCTGCCTCAGCAGTGGAGGATGAGGACATCCAGCCCCATTTGAAGGGATGACTGATTCCCGGTGGATGGAGAGTCTGTGCTGTGCCTGGACAGCAGGAGCCCTGGGCGTCCAGTCCTGGCTCCGTCAGTGACTCCCTGTGACCTTGGAAGGAAAGATCCTCCCCCCAGCCCCCCGCCTCTCCGGGGCCTCAGTGCCCCTCTGTGCAGTGGGCGAGCTGGGCCAGTTCTGGGTGGGCTCCGTGGTGACCTGGAGTCCCCTGCAGCTCTCCTTCTGGGCACAAGAGGGCAGCCGAGGGCCTTGGAGCACGAGGACCGAGGGCTGACTTAGCTTTAAGGAGAGTGCGGTTGTGAGCATCTCTGTACTGAGCCCAAAGCTCAGCCACGGTGGGAGCTCCCATTTCTCACCCAAGGAGCTGCGCTCGCCCGAAGTCCCCCCCCCCCACCGCGCCACCCCGAAGCTGACCCAGGGGGAATCTGCTTCCCCGCTGCCGCCTCTGGGCTCACCGGGCAGAGGGAGGCCAATGGCCCGCATCTCTTTCCACAGTGGTCCTTTGCTGTCGCAACCATCACAGAAATCCCCCCTGTCATCTTCCTGCCCAACTTCCTGGTACAGAGGAAGGTGCTGAAGCCCCTCCGGACCCAGACGGGAGGAACCATAATGGTAGGTGGGGAGCTGGTGTGCGGGGGGAGCAGCGGCTGGGCCGGGCCCTCCACCCCAGGCTCCTGCCCACCCTGGGTCTTTGCCCCCCCTGGGCTCTCCGTCTAGAGTGCCTCGTGCTGCCGAGTAGTTGAGCAAAACCCTAAATACTCCTCAAGGCGGCAGCAAGAGCTCTTGCTCCCAAAGCCTCTCCTGTCTGGCTGGGACAGTAGAATTCACTGTTCTGCCCCCAAGACCACCTGTTAGAGCTACCGTATTTGCTGGTGTGTAAGATGTATCCTCACCCCCTGGAGAGTATGTCCTAAAACTGTGACTCCGAGCTACTCAGATTTCAGATGGAAACAAACCCCTATGACGTCAGCGATGGATGGTGCCCCTTCCCCCCCATCGTGGGCGTGGCAGTCACAAACACTTGCAGCAAAACTGGGTTTCACATTCTGCGTGTAGTTTTCTCTAAAATTCGCCGCAGACTGCGGAGTTGATTGGAGGTCGAGGAGCTGAAATGATTTGAATGTACAGTGATCCAACCCAGACAGGGATCAATACCTGTTGACCCCTATAGTTTTCTTTTCAGCTTTGCAAATTTGTGCATTTTGAAAGTTTATTAGAATATTACTGCCCACCCCAAAATTATGATTTCCTATAGGATTTCAGTAATAAGGCGACAGTATTTCCAGGAACAAAAATTTGTCCATTTTCCCTTTAAAAGCTGCTTGAGAATCCTTGTCAGCTCACGTTCCATCCTAAGAACTGAACTTTGATTTCCTCCAGTCTCCTCACCAAATTGCACAGGGGCTTACGCACCGCATGTCTCATAAGCCAGCCAGTTCAGGGTTTGCTGGGGATGGGTGGGTGCTTCCTGTACCCCACCTCCCAGCTCATCCCCACCTTGGAGCTGGCTGGAAATGGTGTTTATGGGATGAGTGATTCAATGAATAAGTAAGTGCAGGAATTGGCGGCCCGCACCCCTCACCCTGTGCTTGTTTCCAAAGGCGGGGAAGCTGGCCGTGGAGCGAGGCTGGGCCATCAACATAGGTGAGTGCCCCGTGGCCTGGCCTGGGTCCTGGGGGCAGCAGCTCTGGTGCCACTGTGGACAGGGGTGGCCACGATGGCAAAGCTGCCTCCTGACCCAGGGATGGTGACATGCCCATGCGGGGTCAGCTGACTTAGGCAGCCTGGAGCCCGGAGCCGTCCCTGGGAGCTGAGCGGGGAGGGGGGCCCTGGGAGGAAGGTGGGAGGGGGGTGTCTGGGCCTTGAGCCTGGCCCTGGCAACACCTCGGCTGTCCTCGCAGGCGGCGGCTTCCACCACTGCTCCAGCGACCGGGGCGGGGGCTTCTGCGCCTACGCAGACATCACGCTCGCCATCAAGGTGTGCCCGAGAGCTTGTGGGGGGGGGTCGCCTCCGAGAGCCTCCCTGGAATCCCCCAATCTGGTGTGCTCACCCCGCATTGTAGAGAAGGCAGCTGAGGCCCAGAAGGGGCGGGAGCTCGCCCGGGTCCCTCAGCCGGGCTGGGACCCAAACCCAGATATGACACTTGCTTTTTCGTGTTGCCTGAGATGGTCCAGAGGTGACAGCCTTCAACAGTGGCAGGGGACCGGAGGGGAACAGTTTCCATGTCAATATTAAATTATGAGAAGGGTGAGATAGAAATAATGACCCTGATGGTGGTGACAACGGCTGGCATTTACCGCGGGCCCGGCCCTGTGGCCGCCTCCGTCCTCCAGGGCTCGCCCCTGCATCCTCACGTTTTACAGATGAGGAGACGAGGAAACGGGCCCAGAGGGGCGAGGGCACAGCCGGAAGGGGCACAGCTGGCAGCGGTCTCCACGTCGGTCAGACCGCAGCGCTGCCTCAGCACCCGCGCATGGCCTCGTGCTCGGGGTCGGCATGGGCCCCGTGGCTCCTGTCCCCACAGGGCACGGGGACTAATGGGGAGGAGGGACAAGTCAGCAGACCCTGGTCATTCGGAGAGGGGGACGCAAGGAGACCTTCTTGGAGGGTGGGGGAGGGGATGGAGGGCTTCTCAGAGGAGGAGGCTTTAGGGCTGGGCCCTGTAGGAAGGCGGAGATGGCAGAATGAAGTTCCAGGCACAGCCTTGAGGGGGGTTCCCCGCTCTGCACCCCAGCATTTCCCCGGGAATCCTGAGCTGTCGCGGAGGGCCAACTCTCTTAACCTCCTCACCTCTGGCCCTTCAGGGCACAGCATGTGCCCCTCCAGGGAGCCTTCCCTGAATACTCACACAGGCTTCTCCAGAGCCACACAGCTCCCCAGGGCTCTGCCTGGTGGCCTGATCTCCCATAAGCATGTACAGGCTTCGGCCCACCCCCTCGCTAACTGGGAACCGCTACAGGGCTGTGTCCTCTGGCCTGTGTGGTCCTTACCTCTCCCCTCTCCCGCCCTGGGCAGTTTCTGTTTGAGCGAGTGGAGGGTGTCTCCAGAGCCACCATCGTTGATCTCGATGCCCATCAGGTGAGTGCCTGGTGGGGCCCGGAGTCCCACAGGCCCGCCCCCCCAGGCCACCTCCCCGCACTCCCCAGCTGCCTCTGACGTGCACCACCGTGCTGTGGGCTCCGCTCCCCCAGAAACATCCCCCAGGCTGGGCCTCTGCCGCCCGCACCCAGGCACACGGGGTGTTTCCTGGGGTGTGGTTGGGGGTGCCTTTCCCGGGGCACCTGCCTGTGAGTGGCTTCCGTGTGTTCCCCACAGGGCAACGGGCACGAGCGGGACTTCATGGGCGACAAGCGCGTGTACATCATGGACGTCTACAACCGCCACATCTACCCCGGGGACCGCTTTGCCAAGCGTAAGCTGCCCTGTCCCTCAGCCCCAGGGCCTCTTGCTTGGATGGGGCTCTCTCTGGGGCATTTCCTACATGCTGGGACCTGCAGAGGTCCCTTCATTTATTTATCCTCAGCATCCCTGCGAGGGGGAGACTGACGAGGAAACGGAGACCTAAAAAGGTCACTTGACCCACCCAAGACCACATAAACCTGCCCAATAAACACTGTGAGTCCTTCTTTTGGGGTAACCACCAGAAGACTAAAGTAGACTTTTCTCCTAGGTATGCAGCTGTCTGGTCAAAAACAGGGAAGGACAAAAAAGAAAAAAGAAGGAAAAATACATAAATAGAAAATATAAAATAAGGCGGCAGAAATTAGTTCAAATATAATAGTTACTAAGTAAATGCAGGTGGATCAGTTAAAAGGTAGAGACTCTCAGATGAGCTTTGGAAACACAGGAACCTGCCCACCCTGTGGGGAAGGGACACTTACGCGGTAAGTGCCGGCGGGGCTGCTGTGCGCACGTCAGCCGCTTTGCCGCCCCCGGGACCCGCTTCTGAACTGAATGTCAGATGTTCTGGATTTGGACCTAAGGGCACACGCGGTGTCCAGGCAAGGACTTACGGAGACAGTGGGCTCAGACACCTGACATGGGTCCCTGAATCCCCAGGGCAGTGTTTCATCTGTGATCCCCCTTCTTTCCTTTGGGTCCCCCTTGCCGCTTGTGTGCTCTTTTTTCGGCTTAGTTTTGGGTGAATAAGAGGTCGAGCACTGCGGAGTCAGATGGGGAAATGGGCCGTCCTCGCCCTCCCCAGCCTCAGTTTCCCACCTCTGCACATTGGGGCTACTGCTGTCTCCCTCGCAGAGGCCATCAGGCGGAAGGTGGAGCTGGAGTGGGGCACGGAGGATGATGACTACCTGAGGAAGGTGGAGAGGAACCTGGAGAGAGCCCTCCAGGAGCACCAGCCCGACGTGGTGGTTTACAACGCAGGCACCGATGTCCTTGAGGGGGACCGCCTCGGGGGGCTGTCCATCAGCCCGCAGGTACCTCCTGATCCTGGGGCGGGGAGGGTCCAGGGACACAGCAGCGGCAGGGCGGGTGGGCAGCAGTGGTGCTTCTCTTGAAGCCAGAGGGGAAGGGCAAAAGCAGCAGCGGGCTGGAGCAGGGTTAGACCTGCAGCAGGACTTTCCAGCCTTCCCCATCCCCCACACCAGGGTGTCGTGAAGCGGGATGAGCTGGTGTTCCGGCTGGTCCGAGGCCACCAGGTGCCCATCCTCATGGTGACCTCGGGCGGGTACCAGAAGCGTACAGCCCGCATCATTGCCGACTCCATCCTTAATTTGTATGGCCAGGGGCTCATCGGGCCCCAGTCAGCCAACGTCTCAGCACAGAACTCAGACACACCCCTGCTGCCCCTGGAGGTGCCCTGACGACACTGCCCTCTGAGTGGCTCCCTGCCTGCTGCCCGCCCGCCCGCCCGCCCGCCTGCCCCTCAGTGCTTCTCCTTTTCCAAATGCGGGGGGACCTCGCGCGCAGCTGCACTCTCCGTGCTGGGTGTCGCGGTCTCAGGGCCGCTCTGCGGGTGGGGGCAGAGGGCAGGGCCTGAGTCCCGGAAAGACCCACACGGTCACGGTCACGGCCTGACCAGGCGGCAGTTCTCCCAGGAGGGAGGAGGGCAGTTGAAGCTCCCAGGCGCAGGGAGGGCCCCCAGGGGTGGGGTGTTCTGGTTTTCAAAACAGTGCGACCGTTTCAGACCAAGGAAGCTTCCATCTCTTCCACAGTTGGGCCCCCTCCCTCCTCTTCTGCACCCTCTCCTCCTCCCTTCAGGGGTGGGAGACCTGAGAGGGGGCTGGAGCCAGGCGTCTGGGGTCCCTGGATTCTCAGCCAGCAGGCAGGGGCCCTGGTCCTGGGTGTGAGGGGGCGGCAGGGAAGGGGATTCAGGTGGGTTTTCCCATCTGGCTTCTCCTTCAATAAAGCGAGGTCTGGACCTGCTGTCCGAGAGCCCCTCCCTGGTGGGGAGGGGAGGGGAGGCCTGAGGAGCCCCAAACCCCTGCTTCAGCAGCATCTTGCCCGTCCAGGGAGAGCGCCGGGTTTGGGGGAAAGAACTCTTGGCTCAGGGACAGGCCTTAGCTCTGGAGGCTTGAGGGACAGAGGAAGGTGAGGCCTGGACCAGGTAATCGGGGAGGGACAGGTGGCCAAGCTGGGTCCCACAGGCCCCGAGGCCCAGGTGGGGACTGAGGCGCTGGCGAGGCCAGGCTGGCGTTGCTGGAGGGGAGCAGAGGGTCTCCATCCTGGCCTGCAGGTTGTACGCATAGGGGGCTGGGGTGGGGCCCCGGCGGGGGCTGCAGCCTCCACTGGGCTCATCCAAAATGCCAGGCCCTGATGTGCACTGCCCAGGGGGGCCCTGACCTTGTCGTCAGCTCTACTCTGAAGGGGATGCTCAGGACCCCACAGGAAGCTGGGGGTCGGGGGGAGCGTCCACTGCTCCATTGCCTGGGTGTGTTCTTAGTGGTCAAAGCGGGTGGGGAGGGAAAGAGGGCCGTCCCTGATCAACCCCCCCACGGGACTTGTGCTCATTGCCATCTGGGGGTCTCCTGAATTCTCCTACCTTCTCCCTCGCACCCCTCTCGCCGCTCCCTCTGCTGGAGGGGGCGGGGCAGGAAGGGTTCCAAGATCACCAAGTGTCAAACACGTTGAACTCCTTAGGCTTGGACGCCCCACCCGCCCCGCCCCGCCCCGCCCCGCCCCTGCCCCGCCCCTGCCCTTGGTCCCTGCATCGGACTCGAGGCATCTAACACCACTTCGCCTCCGACACACGGCCTGGAGAACCATAAAGGCTCTTTTGATCCGACCTGGCTGCGGTGTGTTTCTTTTAAATTAATTAATTTTATTTTTGGCTGCCTTGGGTCTTCGTTGCTGCGCGTGGGCTTTCTCTACTTGCGGTGAGCGGGGGCTACTCTTCGTTGCGGTGCACGGGCTTCTCATTGCGGTGGCTTCTCTTGTTGCGGAGCACGGGCTCTAGGCGCGCGGGCTTCAGTAGTTGTGGCTCGTGAACTCTAGAGCGCAGGCTCAGTAGTTGTGGCGCACCGGGTTAGTTGCTCCGTGGCATGTGGGATCTTCCCAGACCAGGGCTCGAACCCGTGTCCCCTGCATTGGCAGATGGATTCTTAACCACCGCGCCACCAGGGAAGCCTTGCCATGTGTTCTTGAGGTGAAGAATCCATACCTCCTAAGGATTAAAGGAAATAAAGATTGAAAGTTCACACAGCAAGAGGCCTGGCGTGGGGTAGCTGCCTGATAAACGCTAGTGTTTTAGCCCATGCACAGAGTCCCATGGAGAAGGTCATTATTCCCATTCTACAGATGAGGTCGCTGAGAGTCGGTGAGGAGTTTGCTTCACGCCACATGTCTCGTGAATGGTAGAGCCAAGTTTGACCTCAGCTCTGCCAGTTTCCAAAGTATGTGTTCTCAGCTGTGTCAGGTTGGGCAAGGGTGAAGGGTGCTCTCTAGACACAGAGGGGTTCAGGGTCGGGGAAGGGTGGGGATGGGAGGGCAGGCTGGGCTGGGCTCTGCCCAGTGTAGGAGGCAGCTGGGGGCCCTGGCGGGGTGGTGTGTGTGTGTGTGTGTGGGTCTTCCAGGCCTGGGCTGGGAGCACAGGTGCGGATGGGCTGGGTGGGGGCCGCTGGGGAGCAGGACCTTGTCCTCAGCCTGGCAGGGTGACCAGGGCACCCCCAGGATTAGTGGCACAGCCTGGGTGGGGAATGGGCGCTTCCACAAGGGTCAGTGCCGGGGCAAGGGCAGGAGATGAAGACATCGGGGTGGTGGGCCCTGTGCTAGGTGTGAAGGGGATGAAGGTTGGCACGGCCCCGTCCTCTCTGTTTTCCAGAGGCAGACAGCAAGGCACGGGGGCTTGGTTCCTTGCTCAGAGCACACAGCTAGCAGGCGGAGGAGCAGGGTTCCAGCCGAGGCCTTGGTTCCAGAACCCGCAGCTCTTTCCTCCTCTGTATTCTGGGCCTTTAAGGACACCGTAGTCACCTGGAGGGTGGGCCCAGGAGTAAACACCTAGGATGCCATGAGTGCCCAGGGGGTGTTAGCAATGAGGGTGATTCTGCTGAAGGGCAGAGAGAAGAGCCAAGGCCAGTTCTGGTGAGGTGTTCAGGATCTGTTCTTAAGGTCTGTGCACTTTGTCCTCTTTGCAAATTATTCTCCAAGTTATCAAAACCCAGGGGGCACACTCCAAGCCCTGGCTGTCCGGGCGGGTGGGGCAGCCCAGGGTGAGACTGGGGCCAGGCCGGGAGCTCTGGGGTCAGACACGTGCTCCGGGGAGAACCTCCAAAAAGGAGCTCGCGTGGGCCAGCCCGGTCCTGGCGGGCATGGGATTTCTGCAACAGACAGCTCCAGAGCCTCCTGAATGTCTGAGCTCAGATGAGGCCCCTTCCCCCCACCATGTGCTGGGGAGCATGCTGGGGAGTGGGCAGACCTGGGACCCCAAGTCCGCCACATGGGGAGCCCTGCAGGACCTGGGCCTGGGTGTGGGGCCTTGGGCAAGTGACAGCCTCTCAGAGCCTCCTTCCTCAGCCCTCCTGGCGGGTCACATCCTGAGCCTGCAGGGCTGAGCAGGGGTGTCGGGTGACCCTGGAGGCAGCTCAGAACCTGGCACCACGTGAGTGCTGTGTGATTGCTGCCGTCCCTTTCCTCCCCCCCCAGACCCCGCTGGCGGGAGCCTGCTAGGCCTAGGGGAAGGGGGTGCCCTCGCGGAATCCTAGCCCTGTTCTCTGCCGGGGGCCGGTGGCGGGCTGTCAGGCAGCACAGGGGCAGCAGTGTCCCCCCACCTACCCCCTCCTGAAGCTGGTGGGGGCAGAGGCAGGAACGAATGTACCCAGCCTGATGCCTGGGGCATAAACAAAGGCGGGGGCGTTGGCAGGGCCCCCCAGCCTAGCAGAACTCCTGGGCAGAGCTGAAGGAGACGTAGGACGCCTCCCTGGCTCCTCGGCCAAATGCTTGGGGTTTAGGGCCAGGAACTCCTCCAGGGCCGCCTGCCCTTGAGTTGGTTTCATTTAGCTCAGCCAACACTGGCTGGGGATGCTCCGCTCGTAGCCCAGGGCCAAAACGGGGAAGCTCGGTGCCACCCTGGGAGCGATGTTGTCCCGTGATTGTTAGCCAGGCTGCGGGGGGCAGTGGTTAATCCATGCCTCACTGGACTGGCCTTGAGTCCTACCTCCTGCCGTTGCTAGCTGGGTGACTCTACCTCTCTGTGCCTTAATATACTCATCTGTAAAGTGGGATGATACCCCAAATGGGGATGACTGTCATGAGAATTAAATGAGTTAATATTTCTAAAGTGCTTAGCGCAGGCCCAGCGTGGAGCGCACACTTAGTACAAGTTACCCATCGTCGCCATCATTACCATCTTACAGATGACGAGATCGAGACTCAGAGACGGCAAGTGACTTGCCCAAGGTCACACAGTCAGGCAATGGAAAAGCTAGGGAAGGGACCCAAGGCCACCTGACTAGAACGAGTGCCCTTTTCCCACAACCAGACCTTCTGGCAAAGGTTTGGAATGAGAGTATCTTGGGGGGCATGGCGTCCCCCTGCCCACCTGGACCTCTCAACTGTTCCCTGGTTCACGCCCGGGAGAGGCAGGTGTCAGACCCCGATGTCCAGATGAGACAGTGGACCCCAAAGGGAAGGCATCCCTCCTGGGTCCTGCAGTGTGGTGTCAGGGCCAGGCTGAGGTACATGTGACGGTTTTAAGTGGCTATCTGTTCAGGCGGCTTCCGCGTCCTGCCCCGGGGCCGCCTGTTCACCTCTCGTGCACATGGCACCCAGAGGCCACCTCGTGCATGGCAGCTGGATGGTGCGTGGGGCGCACTGCAGGAGAGGGCAGGCTGTCCTCGTGGAGGGCCCGCTGGGATCCTGGCTCGCTGCTGGTGGTCACCACCGTCAATTTATCAATGGGGAAAATGAGGCCCAGGGAGGGCTATTAAGGAGCCTGACACCCCTGGCAGCCAACTGGTACCAGAGCCCGCCTCCTGGCTTCCTCCCATGGCGGGCCAAGCATCGCTTCCGCCACCACCCCGGGCATTTTCCTCTGCACCCCTTGTTGCCACCAGGGTCAAGGCACGGTTGACAGGGCAAGTGGGAGTCCTGAGCTCTGCCGGGACGGCGGGGGGCCTCTGGAGAAAGGACGTGGACTTTGGGGTTGGCCAGCCTTGGTTTGAACCTGCTCTGCCACTGGCCTGCGAGTGTCCCCGGACAGGTGTGTCCCCGCACGGAAGCTGGCCCTCCCTCTGCAGAGGCCTGTGTGAGGTGACGGAAGTGGGCTGGCCTATACTCTCTGGGTCATTTGAGGGCAGAATTAGTGTCCAGAGCCTGAGTGTGGGATGCATCCTTCTGGCTTGCTCCCCACCCTCTCGCTGCACAGACAGAAACGGACACCCGGAGAGACGGGGACCTCGCTGCATGTGGGAGCTCACCCGTCGGGAGGCGGTGTGCATGGTGGTCAGATCCTGGCTTTTCCGCCGCCTGTGCGGCCCTGAGCCCCGACCTTCCCCCCATGAGGTGCCCTGCACCAGCAGGTGCTTGGTTAACGTTAGCTAATGACGTCGTTCAGGTGGGAACGAGGCGGGGTGTTCTCATGGCCGGGACACAGTGCAGCTTCTGGGTTCACGGCACGGTTCACGCACAAGCGTGTGTTCAACCGCTTTGTTCTCAACACAACTGTGTCTGTGGAGGAGGAAAGGGGCGCAGGGAGGGTGGGTCTCCACCCGGATACGGCCCCTGCCCACCCCAGAGGCTGGGCCCAGCATGCTGCAGGTACCCCACCTTTGGGTGCCCCATGGCCATGACCTCCCCTCCCAGGGGGTGTGCTAGCGAGGGGTGGTCGGGGATCCAGCTAGGTGGCTGCTGGGACTTCCCACCCCTTTCTGACTCTGAGCGTGAGATTCTTGGCAGGTTCCCTGGCCTTGGAGGTCCGGGGAAGGGTCACATCCGAGGGGCGCTCCCGCGGGGCCAGGAGGAGTGGGCAGGGCCCGGCCAGAGACTCCTCCCTGCTGGGACCCCCGAGCCAGTGCTTGCAGCCCGCCAGTCGTCGCGGTAACCGATACCCAGGCGGCCAGACGGAGTTATGGTGTGTGGCTGGGAGGCTATTTTGTCTAATATGTTAAAAGGCCTTTGGAAATTCCTGGAGCCCATCTGGTCCTAGTTACACCACAATATTGCTGTCTCTTCAGCTTGCAGACAAGGCAACACTTTTATTTCTCCTTTCGGAGCTCAGGAATGTGCCGAGAACACAGGCCGGCAAACACCCATCTGGTTCCCGAGATCCTCGATCACGTGAGGACCCATCATCCTTTTAAAGGCTGCGGCTCCTTCCCCAGGAGTCCTGAGATGCCGTGGGGGGCTAAGGCCTTGGAGGGGGGTGCCTGGCTGTGTTATGTGCCCCTGGCCTCTGTGCTTCCTCGCCCGTGCAGCAGAGACAGGAGCTCCTGGAGGGGGGCACACTAGCCTGGCATGTGGTGGGTACCTAGTCAGCACCAGTTTCCCAATCAGCTCCATGAACCCAAGAAAGTTCCTTAACCAATCCAAGCGCCAGTAGCCTCTGTCGAACGGGGTCTGCAGCTCTGAGGGATGTCGATAATCATTCCTGACTCACCTGGCACCTCTGCCCACCCACAGCCATCCCCAGAACCAGAGGAGAAACGAATACAGAGGCTCCTCATCTAAAACATCCATGTGGAGTC